CTAGATAACGGATAACTGACAACAATTAATGAATTGGTAGGTGTTAGTTCATTTTGACAACGCACGTTTCATATAGACGTACAAGTTAAATAACAGTAAATTTTACAAAAAATCAGGTCATTTAATAACTTTATTAATGTATGAATTTGGACGTGACATCGATGTCACTGGCACAGTAATGTGGTGTAGTAATAATTATATTCTATTTTTCTTTTTTAAAACTTCAACTATCACATAATCAATATTTTTTTGACTTAAGTTTGAAATGTTTGACGCTGAAAATGATCTAATACCTCTTATTTTCTCTTTACCAATACTAACAAATAAATCATATATTTTTCCCGCTCTCTCTTTTCTTTTTTTCAATGCATCATTAGTAATATTATCAGGGAGTTGTTTCCAGATTTCATCATTAACAAGAGCCAAGCAAGCTCGTTCTCTATATTTGAGATTCTTGTAATGATCGAAATGTTTTTTCATAGCTTCACCAAAGTTAAAATAACTTTCAATAACTTCCTTACTTGCTATCTCACTTTTAGATTCAGTCTGCATAATTTTGCTATAATGATACAAAAAATTATTGGTGCTTTCGTTGACTTCTATTGCTTTTCAGAATTTTCAGGTATCATTGATGTCAATTCCTCAATAAGTTTTTTTAATATAGGAAAATCTTCTTTTGAAACTTGCTTCTTCACTTTCTTACTGGATAGTTTACTGGTGGATTCACCAACACGCTTTTTCTGGGATGTATCTTGAAATATTGTAAAATCACCAAATAATGCCAGAGATATATCCATCATATTGTTAATATTCTGACTTCTGGGCGTAGCGTTAACCGTAGATTCTATTTCTTTTTTACAATCAGATTTTGGACATATTGAACATTTTTTGATAGAAGTTTTGATGCAACCATGATGATATGCATGGCCACAAGTGAGTATGGTAATCAGGCTTTTTATTTTATACAAAAAAGTTCTTGGTTGCATAATGAGCATGGATCTAGTTCCGGAACATCCACACCTTCTGCAATCTTTTCTGAGAATGAATTTTTTAGAATATTTAATGCAAGGGATTCGAGAGTTAAGATATTAGCAGACATAACGCAGTGTATAACCAGATAGTGGAGCTAGTGTCTCTGACATATAAATTTTCTGTATACTTAACTCATTTTTTATAACAGATTTAGTGCCAAAGCACATATATCACATTTATCGCAACTAACAAAATCAATTTCAGATATTATAAAAGCTAATTTCAGATTTGGTAATCATTAATTACTTCTGCTCAGAATCGCTCAATATTTACAGGAAATCATAGATGATTTCAACTGATAAGCAAAAATTGACATTAATTTCACAAAACAGCGGTGAATTAGCTAAGTCTCTTATGATAATTCCTGATTTGCATATCTCATAATGATGATCCCAAATGAAAACACCTCTTATTATCACGCATAAAATCAATTATCAGGAAAAGAATGACCCTTCATTTGAAAAAGTAATAGCGGAGCTAGTGCCTCTGATACATAAATTTGTGTTTCGCTAAAAATTCTCAAGTTATGCGTGACAAATTGTCACACTGATCACTTTTACCAAAAAATTACAGGACATAATGTCTCAGAAAAATTGATTACATAATACAGATATTTATCAATACATTACATGTTATATCACAGAAGAAAATGAAAGGTCATGGAACTTTTCATGCATGATGTAATCGTGTGGTCTGTTTATTGTTACTATAAATTCCAAATCTGATTGTCTAACTCATGACATATGCAATTTCTTTGTGAAAAGTTTTTTTGTTGTGCATATTTACATAGTAAATGCCTATGGACCTGCATTTCTCCAGTTCCACATTCCCTGAATCTATTATTCCCATACCTAAATGAGACCAGAAATGAGCAGAGAGAACATTTTAAAAGGACAGTATACTTACGTTGTGATTGTTCGTCATTTTTACTTGCGATATAACAAAGCTAATATCATTTTCAATAATCATACAAATATGTCTACTGATTTGTATAACAACATTTACGAGTTCTTGATAACTGCCGAAGAACACCAAATAAATGCTACATCTGTTATATATCTTGGAATAAAAGAAGACCACTGGATTTCACAAAACGAATTAAGATCAATCATAGATCGAGTTGTATCTTCCGCTAGCAATGTATACATGAATACTTCATCACGTCAGTTAAGAATTCTGCGAATTTTCCCACAGGTTAGTTATTTAGATGTATTATATTCTAAAATTATCTATATTAAATAATGATATTATGTGATCCACTCACAAAGATGAGTGCTGATAAATAGTCAAATTATTTTGATTGTTGCTTATGTTTACTCATCCTACTAGTCCGCTTGCTGATAGACACTTGCTCATAGTGGAGGAATGTTTAAACTATAGTCTGTTATGCAGGATATAGCATTCTACCAACCTGCTATGAGAAAAATCTATTGTCTCATCAGGAGGATGTTTAAGATATAAGTTACTATATTGTTTTATAGTATCACACAGAGTTTCATCAGTGTGATGGTTACATAAAGATATTAACTTTGTATATGTACTAAGGATGCTTGCCTAAATTCTTTCAGAAAAATATCATCATAATTTCGACAGGTTACATACTAATTGTTAATTAGAATTTTGACATAATTTCAGTTACAACGGGTTTCAAAATTCATCAGAATTTCGATGAGTTATTTATTAATAGTTTATTATAATTTTGACAGAATTTAGACAGTCACTAAGGGATTTCAGCAAGCAACCTTAATATGTACTGATAATATATGTTATTTTAATGATGAAAATTTTTATATTTCTGAAAAATTAATACATATTTTTTATATTAGTTTGATAATGCCTTTGAAGGAGTTTGCACCTTATATGACATGGAGGCAATTAAGACAAACAAGGAGAGTCCTATTAGCTCTGATCAAATTGAGAAAAATATAATTGAGCTGGAGAAGAAGCTCAGAAAAGATACCACACCCCTTTGTCAACATCTATATTTGGCTGTGAAAACTCTATCTATTCAAAAATTGACTTGAAAAGATCTTCTAACAAACCAAATTATTAGTAATGACTCTGAACTTGTAGAACAATTGCCGAAAAATCTAAAAAAGATATTTATAGTATGTTAGTAGTAATAATATATATGGAAATCACTATGCTAGTTTTTTTTAACAACATACGCAATTATAATATTCTATCGATGTTCTAATAGAAATCCGCTTGACTGATGAAGCTCACTCTTATATCAAAGATCAAAGAAATGTGTGAGGAATTCATATCAAATTTCATTAGTCATGGTTACCAGAATACGTCACCCAAAAAACTTATTCATAATGGAACTTGGAAAGAATTTGAGGAGAAAATATTAGACATTACGAAAGAACTTTTTTCCCTTCTCAAAGACATTTGGAATAATCCAATCTTTAGTTCTGAACTTGCAAAATCATTAAATGAAGACACCTACCAATTGACAGTCATTTTGTTATCAATTCAGGCAGTATTACTTTTAGATTGTCTTCATTTATCAGTACATCAGAACAGCAAAGTATTGCTAGCGCTAATAGAAAGGATAAAGAACAGATGGGAAGGTGACCCAATATTATGTTTGTATTAAAATATTTAGAGATCTTCTTTGAGCTTCTATATGTAGAATATTCATGATTATACTGCACTCAGCAGAAAAAGAAGGATGATGAGATAAAGTTATGGTGCGAGAGAAATGATGATATGTATTATGTTCGCAAAGTTCTTAAACCAGACAAAGATCAATTTGGAGTAGTTGGAGTGCAAGTAGCGGAAAATA